GGAGACAAAGGAGACGCAGCAAGAGAACGAAGGGGAGGAGACACCAAAGATTATGCGGCGGAGAGAAAGGAGACACAAGAAAGCACTGAGGAAAAGAAGACAAAGGAGACACAACGGGTGTGTGAAGAAGAAGAGACAAAAGAGAGACTAGAGGAGACAGAAAGAAGATAAGGAGACAAAGGAGACACACAAGGAGACACTTCGTTCTTACAGGCTCATCAAGGCTGCTGATTGAGGGGTACCCCATCCTCTCTTCAATACTTGCTTGAAAACTCTTTGCAGGTTCGCCGTCCTCTGTCTCTTCTGTCTGAGGAGACAAACTCTCTGCTAATGAAAAATCTTCAGGAGGCAGTAGTCTCCGCTGCCCTGGACAGCCCTCATCTTCATCATCTTCATAGTCTTCTTCATCATCAGCGTATGCATCTTCTTCGTCGTCTTCTTCTTCTTGTCCTTCTTCTTCTTCTGCTTCCTCGTGCTGCTCTGCTGCACCAAACGACTGCTGCTGCTGCTCGTCGTCTTCATCTGCACCCACCTTCCATCTGTATGGGCGTGTAGTCATCTCAGGTGTCTCCTCAGGTGTCTCCCGCTGCTGTGCTCCAGCTGCTGCAGTCCCCTTGCGCACACCTGAGGGGATCTGCTTAGGTGAAGAAGAAGCAGCACCCTCTTGTTGCTGCTGCTCCTCGTCATCAGGGCGAGCAGCAGCAGCAGCAGCAGCAGCAGCAGCAGAACTAATTGTGTCTCCTCCCGCTCCCTGGGGTGTCCCCCCACCCATCCCTTCAGAAGATAGAGAAGGAAGCAAGGGGGCATCATCACTGTCTCTTTGTTCATAAGGATATAAATTGCTTCCCTTTCTATGGGCCCCTGAAGCAACAGCAGCCGGGAGACGTCTCCCAGTTTGTCGCAGCTGCCACACGAGGAGCAGCGTCAGCAGCAGTGTTGCTGCTGCTGGGCCCAAGCAACGGACGAAGCGGGCCCTGCGAGGCTTCTCGCTGCAGCAGCTCAGGTTGCTCATGCAGTCGCTTTCCCCTCCCTCTAAGCTCTGTACTGCTGCTGCTGCTGCTGCTGCTTCTGCTGCTGCAATCGCTGCGTCGAACGAATGCGCGCCCTCAGGCGCCGTTTCCCCAGGTGATGCTGCTTCAGAGGAGGCACCCGCTTGCTCTGGAGACTCCATTATCTTCGAAGAGAGCCCTCTGACGTAGCAACCAAGCACTGTGTGTTTCGACTAACTGAACGTGGTGTATGCAGAGTAGGAGAGGGGCTATAGGAGGCAGAAACGGGGGCTAAAAAACCAAGAACTCAACTAAAGGCAATAATAGACAGAGTTATTTTAGAGTCTTCTGGGGTCTGGAAGCCGCTTTGGGCTCCTCAGAGAAAAACAAGAAACAGCATACTCGTCTCAGGGTGCCTAGATCTCAGGCTGTTCTTCCTGCTGCATGCAGGCACCGAACTGTTTAAATAAAGAAAAAAATGTAAGTCTTAAGATGAAGAAAGAAGAAGAAGAACCAGAAGACGTAGCTACTCTCGTGCATGCATACCCGCTCCAGACAGCCTCTGAATATGTGCAGGATGGTGGAGTGTACATACACCGGGCATAAGGAACAGGGAGCCTAGCTGCATGTTTGATCTTTCTTCGTTTGTTTGATAGTATTTTTATAGGAAAACAACTTGTTTAGCTTTAGAAATTCATCTTTAGAAGCCATAAAATATTTGAAACTTTCCTATTCTTCTGCTGTTCT